CTGCATGGTAAATATTTAATGTGCCATCTCCGGCAGCCCAGCTGCTGGGAGAAAAGTGCTTTTTGGGTCTGTGTCTGTGGGCCATGAGGCAAAGCAAAAAGTAGGGGGTGAGAACCATGGGGCCCAAAGGACACCCCACCGCCCATGGCAACACTGGGTGCCTTGGGATGGATGTGCACACAAGTGTGGTCTGTGCAGGGAGCAACGCCATCAAACTGAGATGGAGCGTAAAACCAGGTAACAGTCAGGCTATGACAAAAGTAGAAGGCAAAATTACAAAAGTCCTGCAAAACATTGTTTGCAGCTCTGGTAATGAGAGAATGCAATGGTGCCTGCCTGTCCCAGCACCAAACCAGCACAGGGGGCTGAAGGCAAGCAAGGATGGGATCAGCATGCACATGCTGAGCCCCATGGACAGGTGCAGGCACACCTGGAGGTGACGCAGCAGTGGGCACACTCACCTGGAGGTGTCCCTGGCTGGGCTCCCCAGGGCGTGAGCCCAGAAACGCCTCCACCAAAGCAGGAACTGAAATTCTGCCGTTACAAAAGGAAGCTGCATGTGCTGGCACATAAAATATTAAATGTCTGCACACAGCTTTGAGCCAGGAACTTTGCCTTCTGTGTGCAGACTGGGGGTAATTTACCTGCCCCCCTGATCAGCCTGGAACAGCAAACAACACACAGCCATGGCCAGCAGCCGTCAGGGACGCGTGTATTTGGGCTGCAACCCTGCTGATTGCCTGCCCCCTCCAGACACTCTATCCCCAGGAAGTTTTCCTAGTTAGTGACTGGGCAAAACAAATCAGGGGACCAGGGCCTGGCCCGGCCCTCCCTCTGCTCCTCTTACTGCTGCATCACCCAGGCAGTGGTCATGGCAGCAGGACTGGGGTGTCCTGACTGCCCCAGCCAGATCCCTTTAGAATTGGGTGGGTTTAAATTGATTCTCTGCACCCGTGCATAGCAGACACTGAGGTGTAAAACTGGAGGTGACCAGGGAGCACGGGGTCTCACTGTGTCTCAACACACCCAGCTCCACCAGCACCTCCTTGTGCTGCCATCCATGACCCCACTGTACCCACTCTCTGAGTCCAGCATCACAGAAGAACTTCAGTTATTTCTGCATGGATTTAAAAAAAAACCCACCACCCTAGATTTCATTAAGGGAAAGGCAGACCTCATGCAGCTAATTTGGGAGAAGAGAAACTATTTCTTTCAGGCAAAGCCGTGGGGATGGAAATAAGTTCCTAAGTAAGACTCGCTGAAAGGAGCCGGGATGACTCATTTCTTCACTGCTGAAGCTGTATTCACTCCCAGGCACCTCTAATTCCTATTACAACAAAAGACACCAGGAGCACCGGGGATCAGTCAGGACAAGGCACAAGAGCTCGATTTCCTGGAGATGAAAGAGCAGAGAATTAATCCCCTGTATCACCAGCTCCCCCAGGATGGGCTCAGCTGCCTTCATCCCTCACCCTCCACAGGCAGGAGCTATTTTTTCCTGTTCTTGCCAGTGTCAATACGTTCCTTTAAATATCTGTACAGAGAGGCTATATATATAGCAACACTGGTGCTTTGAAAGGAGCCTCATTTCCTGTGTAAGAACTGAAGTTCTTGGCAAAACTGCCAGTGGCTTGCAGCATCTGAACCACAAAAATTGTTTTGTAAAAGTGAAGATGTCAGAAGCAAAATGGCATTTCCTCCGTGAGGCCAAGTCACAACAGACCAGCTCCTGGGTGGAGAACGTCATGGTGCTCACTGCAATGCATGCAATGGGATTTGGAGTGCTTTGGGAACTCATGCCCACCTGCAGAAATGGCTGCAGGATGTAATGGACTAGGCTTGGTGCAGCAGCAGATTGGATTTGGGACAGCAAAGGGTAGCAGCAGAGCTTCTATAGCAGGAACTGGCACAGCACAGAGCTCCCAAGAGTTCGTTTTGGGAGCTCAATCACCACTTGTGGCCACACTGATGTCTTTCCATGAGGATTTCTCAGCCAGAAGTTGCTATTAATGCTGGTCCTGCACCAGCATGGGGCTGTAAGGACCCAGCACACTACAGCTGCATGCAAGGAAGGCATGGTGGCTGCAGTGGGTGATCAGCAATCTGTGTTTCTCCTCACCAGGAACAACTTGCAGAGAAGATAAGTGCAGACTTTTCAGATTTCCTGGAAGAATTTTAAGCAAGAAATATCTTCTAACACTTGCCACAATCAGGAGAAAGCACAGAAGATGAACGCCCAAGGACACCGATGGGCACAGGATGTGGCACAAAGCACACAACAGTCCCCTCTCCAATGCCTGGCACCACCTCCAGCAGCACCACTATCCCCAAGGCCATCACAATGAGGTCCCACATGGGCACAACATGTACTCCTAACACAATTCTGCTCAAGCCCTGGAGCAGCAATGAGAACCACAACCATGACAACAGCCCCGTCCTGAGCCAGGCTGCAACCCAGAGGGAGAGCCTTAAGGCAGGCCAAGAGCATCCCCACAGCAAGCCACTCCTCGCTGCTGCACTGGACTCCAACACCCATCGAGGAAGCCTCCACCATTACCCCTTTCCACACACTTTCACCCCTCTCCAGCATTTGGTTTCCCAAAGGAGGGAAGAGGCCGTGCAGAAGCCCAGAGGCAGCTGGGCAGACGTGCTCAGGATGAGGCAGGACACTCCCATACAGTGAAGTTTCCAGATAATGCTCATCCTTACTCACAGTGCTGAATATGCTCCTGGAGCTGGCAAAGCCACGGGCTGTGGGAGTGCCAGGGCAGCTGGTGGCAGAGCAGAAGCACTGGGTGGCTTTGTGTCCTGCTGTGACGCCTGTGCTCAGCTCCATCTGTGCGGGTCCTCAGCATCCCACAGAAATCCTTTCTCCTCCTGACGTCATCTCAAGATCTTGGCTCACCCCAGTGTTGAACATCTAATCTCTGCCAAGGCAGTGCATCATGTCCATGCACTGTGATAGCAAGATGTGCTCCTCGGCCCCATCCTGGCATGGGAACACCCACAGAAGAAGGAGCAGGGAGGAGAGGAGAAGCCAGGCAGGGAAGATCCCGGGGAACACACACAAGGGAAGGGTCCAGGCTTCAGCTCTTCCCCGTACACCTCCAGCACAGGTGAGCCTTAGCACAGAAAGATGCTATGGCATCCCATAACCACCACCAGCACTTGGCGGGGTGCTCTCATCTCCCCTTTGACCACACGAGGTCGTGGTGCCCAACCCCAGCAGGTGTTACCCAGGTCACCACAAGCCCTTCTGACACACTTTGTGGGAGCTCTTTCAGCCCCAAATATTTTCCCAGCTGCCACAGGATGGGTGGGTATGGAAGCAAGAAAGGGATGGGGCTGTGCATGCAGAAATACAGGGAAAACATTCACTTGGAAAGCTTTAGAGCGTATGGAACTTTGGTTAAGAAAAGTCACTTTCCAATAAAGAAACAACAAAAAGAGCAACAGCATGAGGTTTCTACAATAAAACCTCAGAAAGAAGAAGTTTGACAAACATGGAATATCTGAGGGGTGCCTCCAAGTTCCCTAAACTAGAGAGAGAGAATTATGCAAAGGGAGCAGGGCAGGAAATTGCACAGAGCTGAACGCCCACAGGAACTGAGAGCCACTCAGGGCCCAAGCCAGCACTGAGAACAGCTGCAGGGTCCTGGACTCCCCGTGCCATGATCACCTCTGTGCCATCCTCACCCCACCTGAAATCCTCACATTTCTCCTCCTGTGAGGCTGCTGGAGCTGCTTCTGGTGCACTGTCACTATGGAGCCAGCAGACCCATCCCTCTCCCCCTGTCCCAGCAGCTCCCTGTGCTCTGTGCCTCACCAGGGGACCTCCACAGCTGTTCCCCCACCCCTTATCCCCAAATCTTTCCCCCTAAAGTGCCTGCACAGCCCTGCTCCCCCAGACAGCTCCCGCAGCAGGATCAGAGCTGGGCCTCGGGGACTACAAGGCCAGGCCCCACTGCTGCAGCACAGCCCAGGGCCACAACAGCAGTGTGCCAGCCGTCCCTGAGCCACAGGGGTGGCACCCCTATGGGGACCCAGACCATGAACCCAATGGGCATCCCACCAACAGGCCCCAAGACGAGGGCCCTATGGGCAGCACAGCCCAGACCACCACAGCCCCACCCAAGATGGCGGCCAGCTGCCCACCTGGTGGTGCTACATGGGCTCCGCCCACTTGGCACAGCCCCGCCCACGCAGGGCTGTTCTGCCCAATTAAGCCATCCCCCACCACCTGGCTCGTCCACCGTAGCCCCGCCCACCCTGACCGGCCCCGCCCACTGGAGCCACTCCAGCACACCTGGCCCGACCGCTCCCACCCCTCGGCCCCGCCCACACCGAGTAGCCCCGCCCACCTTCCACACCCCCACCCAACCGGCACAGCCCCGCCCACCCGGTGGCCCCGCCCCCGCTCCAGTCCACGCCTCCCGGGGCGGCACCACCCGCCGGGGCCGCCCTGCCCGCACCTGGGCACGCTCGAAGCTCTCCCGCTCCGCCTCCAGGCCGCCGCCGCCCGCCCGCCGGCTCAGCACTCTGGGCAGCGGGTTGGACGCCTGCCGCATGGAGCTGCTCACGCGGTCCATAGCCCCGCCGCGCCGCTCCTGCTCCGTCGCGCACTCGCCTCCCGCTCCGCTCGGCGCCGCCGCCGGCAGGGCCGCGCGCCATTGGCCAAGCTATCTGCCACTCGGGGAGCGGTCCGCCCCGCCCGCCCCGCCCGCTCCCCTCCCTTCTTCCGCCTCTTTGCTCTCATTGGCTACTCCTAACGCCACTCAGAGCGAGCTCTCCGGAGGGCCGGTCTCAAGCCGTGCCGGCGACCAGCTCACGTGACCGTCGCCAGGCTCATTGGTCCGTGCGCATGCCACTCAACGTCAGATCCCGCCCCTCCAGAAGAGCCACGCCTCGGAGCTCCCACCCTGCCCTGTGGTCCCGCCCCCAAGCAAACTCTCTGCGATGATTGGCCGCGGTGCCTGCCGCTCATACACTCTGTCCTCGTCCGTGCGCGTCCGCGCGTGGTGGCGATGGAGCGTGGCGCCCGCTGGCGGGCGGGAGCTGAGGACGGGCGCGAGGCGCCGGGGCTGTGGGGGGACGGCGCGCAAGCGGGAAGGTGACGGAATTTTCTGTCTCCTGGCTGTGCGCAGGGCTCTGGGGAGGCAGGCAGCTGCAGGCCCCTCCGGCTGAGCGGGGCGAGGGAGAAGCGCGGCTCGCCGTGCAGCGCTTTGAGGCCGCTCCGTGGTCGATCCCTGACCGTGGCAAAGGGAGGCGCGGGGAGCTGGGCTGGGACCGCAGCAGCCGAGTTCTGGGACCTCAAAAGCAGACGTAAAATCAGTTTCCCCACTTCTGGGGATGGCAAAACCATCCTGTCTGCCCCAGCAGAGGTGACGGGACGATCCGGGAGGAGCTGCTTAGGCGGTGGGTTGCCTCGAGCAATTGTGCAAGCAGTTATGGGCTGAGGTGTATTTTTCAGCTGTGCGTTGGAGCTTTGCAGGAATCTGGGGGTCTGCTTTCTGGTGGGAGCAGAAACACACACAGTGCAGCCGTGAGCAGGCTGCCGTGTGACACATTTGCACATCTTTGCGCTTCTCAGGTTCCCAGCTGCTGGGAGATGGCCAGCGCTGTGCAGCAAGGCCACCTCACTCCTCGGCTTGTCTCTCTCCCTGCCTGCCTCCCCTCTAATGCAGTTTCTGGAAACCTGCCTCCTTCCTTGGGGCTGCTCCCAGCGGAGCTCTAATGGGTTTAGTTCAGCCTCTCTTGCAGCAAGGTGATTAATAATTGAATAAATGAAGTCATTGCTGAATAGAGATGAAGGAACGGATGACCACAAAGAAAAAAGGGAAGAATGGTCTGTTGGATGTCTGCCAGTCCCACCCCTCTGCCTGGCTAGAAGCACCCTGCTCCAGCATGGCCCCCAGCAAGCAGGTCTGGGCTGGAGGTTGGCTGCACCTTGGACTCATGTGAGGGATTCGTGTCAGCTGCTGTCTCTCATTGAGGAGCAGTCAACTTCTCTCTGTCCGTGGCAAGGTCCCCATTCTGGGACCTGGACTACCCACTGTGGAGATGCCTTGTCTGTGAAGGATTGGAGGAGGGCAGATGGATGCAAGCCAGAGCAGGCTCTTCCCACTAACTGCTCCAAGGCAGGGGCTGCAGCAGCATGGAGCCAGAACCAGCCCACAGTTAGCTGTTTAGAGCACTCTGGTGCTGCTGGGCTGTGTGTTGGAGCTTTGCAGGAATCTGAGGGTCTGCTTTCTGGTGGGAGCAGGTACCTAGCTGTTAGGCAGGTTATCAGATGCTCAGAGTGGGCACAGGGCTGCCCTGAGCTGGTCTGCTCCTGTGCCTCATGTTTCATGGGGAGGTGATGGGGGAGAGCTGGAAGTAAGAAAGGCAGAGGGAAGATGGGCTGGGCACCACTGCAGCTGCCCAGCAGGTCCTTCTCAGAATCCATGGATCCACGGCTGGGTTTCGTCTGTTTGGATGCTCCTTCCTCTAGCTCAGTTCCAAGCGTCCTGGCTGTAGCCTGGAGGCAGAGGGCAAAAAGAGAACCTGTCATGGGGTGTCTGTGAGGACAGATACTTCTCTGCTTAATCTTGACCCAAAGGACCTGCAAGCCACAGGGGACAGGAAACAGCAGGAGAATGGCCAGAAGAGATGTCAGGGGCTGTGAGTCCTGACCAGGCAAAAGGATACTCCGTTCCCAGAACTGGGAGCTGCAGGCTCCCTGTCCAGGCTCCCTGTCCAGCCAGAAGTGGGAGAGCCCCAGGGTGCTGCTGCCACGCTCCTCACCCTCCTGTGGCCTGGCCCAGGCTCAGAGAGAGCACAGATTCCCCCTTGTTTCAGCAAGAAAATAGAAGCACAGAGAGCACCACAGTCCCTCCTCTGTTATCCAGCTGGCTGGGCTGGAGCAGGCGGGCACGGGGCTCTGTGCGAAGATCCTGCTCTTTTTGCCCTGGAGGTGAGCCCTCTAACAGGCTTCCATGCTTCTGGAGACACTCTAAGACACACAACCCTGAACTTTCTGAAGCAGAGAAGCCAGCCCTGGTGGGCACATCTAGAGGGAAGTGGTTGTGACAGTCCTTCCACCAATGCAATAATGGCACCACAAGTACAAACCTGGTGATGAGGCTGAGTGTACAAAGATGGGACAAAAATGTTTTCTGAGCCAAAGTGTCCACGTGTTGCGAGGTGAGGACTGGGTCTTGGGTGCAGGGTGGTGGCTCAGACCCAGCAGGGAAGTTTTTGGCAAAGCAAAAGGCATGTGGAAGCCTGTAGGGCAGATGGAGACTGCACATGAGGCTCTATTATCTTCTGAGCCCATTTTTTGATACTTTAGGCAAAATGCCTGCTGCTGAGTCCTTGTCAGCTAAAGCCATCACAGAGACTTTGTAGGAAACATGCCTGGGCTGCTACGTGGGCAGTGAGCAGGGAGGGAAAGGGATGGTTGTCACTTAGCAGGACTGCCACTGCCCAAGTGCACAGGGTGCTAAGGGGCCTGAGGGCATCCTGTGCTCCCTACCTTCGTCCTGGGTGAGCTCCCCTACCGGACCAGGTTCTGCAAGGAGGGATGCAAACCCAAGCATCACCAGGTGTGTTCCCTGCACTAAAGCCTCAGCAGCTGCCTTCCCTTTTTCAGGATTCCAAAAGCAAAGCTGAGCATGGCTTACAGCTGCGTTTCTAGGCCAGGTCTTTGATGAGCTGGCTGCCCAGGTGAGGATCTCGCTGGACAGCAGGGCTTGGAGGTGAGCAGTGCTTGCCATCTGCTGGACAGCATCTCTACTGCAGGGCAGCAGCTGCAGCTTCGCGTTCAACCCTAGGCTGAGCACGTCACGTGCACTGCCTGTGCAGAGGTGCAAAAGGCTGCTCTCCCCCAGGGCAGAACACAGTTTTGCTTCAATGTTGTAAGTCAGAATGTGATCATTGAGAGAAGTTTTCTGTATGACTTGGGGCGTGCAGGATGGTGTGTGGGACCATGTAACAGCAGATGCAAATGGAGAGGTCAGGTCCTGGCTATCCCAGTGCTGGTGCTCAGCTGGTTTTCTGCAGTTTCTCTGAACCTCAGCTGCTGATCCTAAGCCTGACCCTGAGTGCTACAGCTACAGGGCAAACCAGCCCAGCTCCAGGCAGGTTGGTGCCTGGTGCTCAGGGAAACCAGGACACATCCACATGGCTGTAATTTGGCAAAGGCAGCCTGGCCTTGGAAGTGCTCCCAATGCCTGCGGGGCTACATCCCAACACAGCAGCCCACTGTCCAGGTTCCTGGTCTCAAAGTGAGGCTTTTGTAGGTGCCCTGCATGTACCCCGGGAAACGGCAGAAGCTGCATTTCCTCCACGCTGCACGTTGAGAAATAGTTGGTGTCTTTCTGCTGACATTTACCACAAATATTCATCTGGAGGCATATCCTAATATAGAAATTCCAATTCAAGGTTTTCAGCGCAGTTTCATAGGAGCACCTTACAGCCGTGAAAGAGCAGCTGGCCCAGGAAATCCAACACGGGCAGTTCCTGCATGCAGTCAGATCCTACAGGCACAGGGTCCGTCCTGCCCAGCAGCGATGCCTCCAGACGTGGGCGCTGCAGATCTCTTGAAAGGAAAGGCAGCTCTTTGTGTTGACTCCGTTGAATGCAAACAGCCTCCGGCATTCTCATTTGACAGATTTTCTCGAGCCTATTACTTTGAAATCCATGCTCTGGCTCAGACACGTGGGAATTTCCTTGTGATCCCCATGTCCCTCTGCAAGATCTCATCTGAGATCTCATCTGAGATTTTGCTTGTCTTTCTCAGGGCTGTAGCAACCTGCAGCCACTGATTACCCCAATCCTTCTTCTGTTTCCAGCTGATCTGCTCCCAATTTGAACCTGAGTTCCCACAGTGGTGATGGGGCAGCTCCCAGGGTCACTGCGATAACGTGACCCTTGGTGAAACTCCAAAAGTGAGTCAGGGTGGTGGAGCAGGCTACCTCAGGGCTAAGAAAAGACTTCCTCCTGCATCCCAAAGCTGCTCTTGTAGTGAGTCCAAAGACACCATGTGTGGTTTCTATTGAAAGCTGAAACACGCCATACGGCAGAGGTTTTACAGACTCTATAAATAGCTGCTGTTTAGGATGTATGGTATGGAGGAGGCTTTAGAAATCAAAATATTTAGAAATTTGCATTATTTGTCTTGGCAGGAAGGAGCAACCAAGACTGAAATACAAAATCATCCTTCAAGGAAGGAATGGAGTTGGGGGAAAACAGTGAAATGTGGGAATAACAGGTGTCAAAACCTCCAAGAATTCCCTTTACAGTGAATGAGAGCAAGAAACACAGCCCAGTATATCTGAAAGCAGCAAGAATTCATTCAGAACGCCTAGCCTTATGTGTACTTCTGATAGAAAATACTGATTTTCAAAAGGAATCGTGACATTTCCATCAACATCACATTTGAATATTGCAGGAACATCCAGAACACTCAGCTAAAATCAGCTCCAAGCTGGGCTGTGTCACTGTGAGCTGCATGAGTGAGGATATCTCCAGCTCATCCTCCATTCTGTTCCCCTCTCTGTTTTATTCTGGTCCCCATGTGGAGCTGTGTAACAGGAACACTAAGATTGGCCTGAATGGGGAACATGTGCGGATGCTGGGTGTGAAAGCACTGGTGGAAATTACAAGAGCAGGGCTGTGAGAATGGGAAGTGTTGGTGGAACATAGGTTAGCAGGTCATTGTGACTCCAGAGTGTGATGGTTTTCTCATCTCATCTCATTTCATCTCATCTCTTCTCACCATGTGGTTTCCCAGCCTGCCACTTGGTCAAATCTGTCTCCAAGCCTGTTTTCAGCACCCCCAGCCTCAATCTGCTGTCTGCTGCTGCAGGAAAGTGAGTCAGCTTGGTCTGGTACCTTGGGCATGTCAAACCATCCCGTCTGTCATCTTTGGTATCACATCCGTCGTACGTGGCTGGGTTCACAGGGACATGGATGTGTGAGGGGCCTGCCAAGTCCGGACAGCTCCAGCCTGTGCTTCACCCACCTGTTCCCCAGCATCCCTGAGCAGAAGTGCAGGATGGCAGCAATCCCAGCAAAGGGGAAAGAGAGATACAGAGAAACAAAGGGATGTGTCAAGGCCTGTACCGCTGCAAAGGCAAAGCTGTGGGCTGAGCTATGATGGCTGCAGAGGGACTGTGGGGTGTGGGCTGGGTTGGAGCAGAGAAGCACCCACATGTGGTTTTACCCTGGCCCAGTTTTGCTCATGCTTAGTAACACAGTGTTTTAGTGAAGCAAAAGGCTCTGGGCATAAGAGATATTTCAGTGCCCTTTATCCTACTCCTTCTGAAAGGTCTGACTCACTAAGTTCAGTCTGTTGAGTTGTGGTGTGTGATACCCTGGAGCACTTAAGAGCCTTGGGCCTGGAATAAGCTCTTCACCTGGTGCAGGGAGTCTTCTCACTTCCCTCATTGAGTTCCTCCTCTGGACCTCTACAAGGCCACCATGTTGGGCAGTGGTTTCTCTCATGTCTAAGTGTTCCTCCCCCACAGAGGAGCCCAGTGGCTGCAGCTGTGGTTATTCGGCAGCCATGAACTGCGCCAGCACCAGCGGTGTCTTGCTCTTGCTCTTCCTCTGCCTGCATGAGGTGTCATCCATAAGCCTTTGCCTGGAGGTCAGCAGAGCCCTTGGGGATGTAATGTTTCAGAGAAGAGCTTCCAGCCAATGCAGTGACACTGTTCCTGTCCTAAATGGCACCAGCTGAGCCAGCAAATCTCTTTTGTATGTCTATATGACTGCTGGGATAATGCCAGGAGGATGTCAGTTCTACATCACTGGAACAAAATAACAATATAAGCCAAACTCCACCATACCAGCATCATTGTGAGCTTCTAAAACTCTTGGTGAAGGTTAGCAGTCAATTCTTGCATCCATAGATAACACAGTAGGATTTAAGCTCCATGGCATTTGTGGAAGTGTAATGTAGCAACAGAACCAGTTCCCTAATGAGTTGCTGCAAGTGATGGGAAGGAGCTGGGAAGGACAGGTGAGGAGCCTGGACTTAGGACAGCACTGTGCTCTACCCTCTGCTCTGTGTGGTTATGTGCTGGTGGTGTCCTGGTTGAAGAAAGCCCCATCACTCTGGGCAGTGCTGCAAGCAGGACACAGAGGCTGTGTGCCTTGCTGACCTGCTGAGCAGGCAGCCAGCATAGCTGGCGTGACCCATGGCTCTTCCTGTTGCCATGGCTGCAGAGTCCACTACTCTGTGTTTCTGTGATGCAGATATTCTAGATGTGTGTGCCAGCCTTGCTCATTCTCTATTGTCATGTGACTTCTAGGCAAAATCTCATGAAACACTACTTCTAGGTTTTCGACTTCTAGGTTTTGGTCTGAGGAAAAAAAAAGAAGAGTTGGTCATATCCTGTTCCCTCTTATTTCAGAGTATTTTGTCATGGTGTATCACTTGCCACATCTGGGCACTACTGCCCGTCAGGGCTCTGGGTACTTCTCTTCACAGGATGGTGTAGGACTCCACACTCTTTACATAGAATTTCTTGACACAGCACTTCTTCCATTGTATCACAAACTGTCTTTCTGCAGCATTTCATCATGCTTCCAGCCTTGTGCACCTTTATAAAGCGAGCTGAACCCAGGAATCCCACATCGGACCCAGTGAAGGACCCTTTGCAGCAGTCTAGACTGATTCCTACAATTAATCTCCACCAATCAGGAACATGAAGTCCTCCACAGCTGCCATTGCTGTTCTCATTGTGGCTGCTCTCTGCTACCAAGTCTCCTCAAGTCCACGTGAGTCCAAGCTCCCCACTCTGTAGGAATCTCTTCTTGCTCTTCCTACTGTACAGGTCCCAGTAATTCTTGTTGGTTTTCTCTTCTGAGCATCTGCTATAAGAAAGGAAAGGCACATCTTGCTGCTCTTTGCCTTGCTGAGGGAAGGGTGACTGTGGTGGGAGACTGTGGTGGGAGCAGCACCTTCTTCATTGCGGCCCTTCTGGTCCTGCAAGCCTGCTTCTCCCTGCTGGCACTGCTCCTGGTCTGACTTTAATCGGAAAACCTCTCTTCTCTCCCAGTTGCTGTCAGTTCCCGTGGATCCTGCTGCTACAAATTCTTAAACAAAGCCCTTCCCCCAAGCAAGGTGATGACGTATGAGTACACAGGAAGCAGATGCCCCTACCATGGTGTGATGTGAGTATTTGTGCCCAGACCCCAGGGCTGCCCACTGAAAGGTGGCAGCACCAAGAAACCCCACAATGTGTCATGTCCTGGCATGGGGCGTAAGCCAGCTGGGCCACATTAGGAGAATGATCTGGAAACTTTGCAGGGGCCAATCTCACATCCCAAGCAGCTGGCTTCTGGTTCTCCCTGTTATCTCTGAGCAGGTCATCTCCACCAAGACAGAGTCCCAGGCAAAACAGTGTGCTGGCTGGGGAAGGCAGCTCTGGGGGGGAGTGGCTTTCTCCTCTAAGCAGCTAGGGCATCTCTGATGATATTGAGCTCACCCCTGTATGTCTGCAGGGCTGTTGTGCAGTTACAGAGGTGTCAGCTTGGTGGGGTTCCCGGCACACCACACAGATGGGCTGCTCGTCCACCTCGCAGAACAGCTTGAAAAGCATGCAGTCGCCCAGCCCTGCCCTCCCTTCTCCTCCACCGTTTCACTGTATTTCCTTCTGCAGATTCACCACGGTTGAGAAGAAGAAGTTTTGTGCCAAACCAGAAGAGAAGTGGGTTCAGGATATCCTGAACGTGGAGAAGCACAAGGATAGCAGCAAGTGAGCTGTGCTCCAGTCCCTTCCAGCATCACGCAGCTGCAGACTCTCATGGGCACCTCCCATCAGAGCCCTGTCACCTCCTTGCCCGTGCATTTGGCAGACTGTTTGCAGACTGTTTTACAGACTTTGTATATACTCTTTGTATATATACTTTGTATATATATTTATTTACCTATTTAAGTGTATGCAAAAGCATTTCGACTTCATGGGGACAAACTTTTCACTGTAATTTGTACGGATTGTCTTTTGGTTGGCTTTGTGATATAAAAACAAAGGAAAGCTGCCCTTCGTCCAGCTGTCTCTCTGTCAGGCAGGGCTGGGGCCCGCAGGCCGCACCTGACCCCATTGCAGCCCCATGGCAGCGGGTCACCGACGTCCCCTGTCATCGCAAGGCCTGCTGCCAGCACGGCCGGTGGGAGCCCCATCTCGTCGCTGCGGGTTGGGCCCATTTGTCCCATTTTCCCCGCAGGCCTTCGCTTTCATTTTCACCCTCCGGGCAGGGAAGGCCGCAGCCCTCAGGGCCGCCCCGCTGCTGCCACGCTCCGCCCACGGCTGCCGCTGCCCCGGCCGGGTGTCATCATCCAAGGCCACACGCAGAGCGGCTGCCAGGCCGCGGCGCCCACCATGGCCCTGTCCGAAGCCCTGGAGCGGCTGTATGAGGAGGCCATCTGCTCCATCTGCCTGGAGTACATGAGTGAGCCGGTCAGCGTCGACTGCGGGCACAACTTCTGCCGCGGCTGCATCGGGAAGCACTGCCAGGAGAAGGGGCTGTGGAACGACACGCCCTTCTCCTGCCCGCAATGCCGGGCACCCTGCCGCCGCAGCAGCCTGCGGCCCAACCGGCAGCTGGCCAACATCGTGGAGAGCATCCGGCAGCTGGGGCTGCGGGGCGGCGTGGGGACGGGGACGGGGACTGGGACCCCGCTTTGCCCCCTGCACGACGAGCGCCTCAAGCTGTTCTGCGAGGTGGACGAGCAGCCCATCTGTGTGGTGTGCCGGGAGTCCCAGCAGCACCGCTCGCACACCGTCTATCCCATCGAGGAGGCTGCGCAGGTGTACAAGGTATGGGCACCCCTCTGTGAACGGCCCCGGGCACTGCTGCGGTGTGAGAATGGTGGCAAAGTGAGGGTCAGCCACTCTGCTGCGGGTGCCGGGGCTGAGGATGGACTTGCTGCCTCCTAATGCACGGGGCACTGTGACCCCGTCAGCCCGTGTGCACGGGACAGCCTGCCCTGCAAAACGCTGGGGCAGCGGGATGTGGAACTGCTGGCACCCAAACACCACGTCCCAGTGTGGGGGTACCCAAATGCCATGTCCCAGCAATGTGGGAGGCAGCCCGCTTGCTCTCTGAACTGAAATAGCGAGGAAAATAGGGAAAGACCTGAGCTGAGTGGAGGGGGTTAATGCTGTGAGCAGAGTGAAGAGCACAGCTGCTGGGCATGGGTGCCAGAGATGGCACTGCCTGGCACAGGGCCGTGTCCCCCTGTTGCATGCTGGCACCAGCAGCTGTGAGCTCAGGGACTGGGCAGAGCATACAGGGTGGGGAGAGCCGACCTCGTTCCTGCTATTTTCAGGTCAAATTCCAGAAATCACTGGAGCAACTTTCCAAGGAAGTGGAGGATATGAAGAAGCGTGAGTCAGAGGCGAAGATGAAAACCCAGGAGTGCAAGGCAGGTGCTTGGTTTATTTGTGAAAAAATGAGCTTACATAACATCAGGAATTTAAAAAATCTGGAATGGTCTGGGGCTGTGAATTCAGTATAGTCCTCAGTATGGGACATTGCCCCATGTCCTGCTGCTGTAGGGAGGGCCCACATCTACCAGGGAGCCTGAGCCACCACAGCTGGCAGAGCCACAAGCACGGTGCCAGAAACCAGCATCAATGAGTGTGGAAACTGCAGTGAATGCGGTTCTGAACAAGTTAACAAGCCCAGCAATGCTTGGGAAAAAAAAAACAAACAGCATTCCAGAAGGAAATGGTGGGGGCTTGTGTGCCAGTTCAACAAATAGATACTTTCTGTTTGCGTTTCGCTTGAGTGAAAAGCAGGTGTGAGACACAATCAGCTCTGCTCTACAGCACTAGAACTGAAATTGTTTTCATTACAAAAATACAAGTGAATTACTGCTCCCAGGCAGCCCTGAGGGCAGAACAGCAGCAAAACAGAGGCAGTTTAGGTCTAGAAGGAAACATAACTACAGAAAAGGAAATGAAACTTCTGGCTGGAGCTTTCCCTTGCTGACCTGATGATTAATCAGCTTTGGCAGGGAAAACAGGTTTCTCAGTGCTCTCCCAGTTATCTGTGTGGGCTGTCACTACTGATGGAGTTTGGGGGTGCTGCAGTGCGCCCACCATCCCCCTCAGGCACTGCGTTTTGACAGAGCTTTGTCCCACCCCCGCCTGCCTGAGTCAGGGCTGTGGGGTCACAGCCAGACTGCCCCCGGCTTCTGTCCTGCTAAGTAAAAAGGAAAACATGTCCCCAGTGAGTGCTGGGCTTGCAGTCCTGGCTTATCAAGAGTATGTGTGTCAGGTCCAAGAAATCGTGCTTAGATGAAGAGGAAATGCACTTTGATTTCCTCTCACTTACCCTCTGGGCTTTGAGGCTTCCTGGTCCTAGTTAACCCCAGCATTTTTTTCCAAGGAGTTGGTTAACTTTCATGCTTTAGGTTTTGAGCCAGATGCCAAATATTAAATGTTGGGAAAAAAAATTCTCAAGCACTGCAGCCCCCACCTGTCACTGATCCTTTCACTTCTGTATTCAGTGAGAACCCTCAGAGACCCAGGAAGTCCTGCCTGGTTTCTTCCAGCCCCTACCCACCCCCACCCCTGGGTGCTGTCATGTTTTCACAGCACTGCCAAAGCAGAGTTCACCCTGAGCCTGGCACGCCAGCAAGTTGGTTTTATCTCCTGATAAAATCCTGCCCAAAACCCTACTTGACACCTATGGATGTCTCCATAGACCCCTGTGCTGCACTGAGATATCTGTGGGCATCGGAGGTCCAGCTGGTCATACTATCCTTCTGTTGGAAAACAGAGGATGTCAAGTGGGAACTCTGGCTAGATCAAAGCACAGTGTTTATCCCTTGGCTCTTCTTTTAAATAAACACACTTAGACAAAAATGCAGCAGTTTCCTGCATGTCGGGCATAGCACTGGGCTCTGAGCTGCCTGGCTAACACTGCCTCCCTTCACTCTGTGCATCTTTCCTATCACAAGGAGAAAGTGAAGAGAAAGCGGGAGATGATTGTGTGTGAGTTTGGGAAGCTGCATCAGCTGCTGGCTGATGAGGAGAAGCTGCTGCTTCAGAAGCTGGAGGAGGAGGAGACACAGATTCTGATGATGATCTCTGAAAACCTGGCCAGGGTGACAGAGCAGAAGTGCTTGCTGGTTGAGCTGATCCTGGAGATAAAGGAGAAGATGCAGCAGCCAGTTGAGGGGCTGCTCAAGGTCAGGCTCTGCCACCAGCCCTCTCAATTGTCCCCAGCCTCAGCCCCAAGGTCTCTGCTGTGTGGCCAGGTGGTTGGGGCAGGCTGGAGTGACATACCCAGAATGGCTTTTCTCTTCTAGGACATGAGATGCATCCTGAACAGGTGGGTACCTGTGCTCCTTCCTCTTACAGTCCCAGCTGCCTCCTGGCTCTCAGTGTCTCTGTCTCCCAGCCCAGTGTTCCGTTTGTCCTCTAAAGACAGAGTGCCCTGGGGCTGACAAGGCTGGGGTCTGAAATTTGAGTGGCTGCAGAACCCTCCTCTTCCAGGGCCTCAGAGCTGAGGTCTTGTCTGGTGTTGTGGAGTGTGAGATGTGAGATCTGTCCCCTCCTAAGGGCCATGCTGCCAGGTTGGCCTGTCTCCTTTGTCTCCCAGGCACCCCTACTTGGCAGTGGCTCTGCACCTCCCTGAGATTGTTGCACCAGTTCCCTCTGGAGCAAAGGTCCCATCGCATTTACTACCAAGTAGTCATTCCTGGTGCTTTGTCATGGCTGAGGAGTTCAAGGGAGGGAATGCATCTGTACAGTCAGGTGAAAGGCATCAGAAAGCCCCATGATGCTGCAGAAGAGTTGTTGTGCAGTGGGCACTGAATATGGTCCCCAGTATTGCTCTCCTTTTAGGTGTGAAACAATGAAGTTTCAGGCCCCCAAACCTGTGTCTGTGAACTTGAAGGAGGACTACAGCATCCCAGAGCGCTGCATGGGTATGAGACACATGCTGAGGAAGTTCAAAGGTGAGGATCTGCTTCCAGGTCCCTGTGCATGTGATCATGGTCCCCCTGCCCTGGGACATGGGGAACTGTTGGGTATGTCCCTGACATGCGGGTGGGCTGCTGGTTGGGGTGGGATCCTGGCTGAAGCCTTTGGCCCCAGCAGGCTCTGCAAGAGACTGTGTGACATCCAGGTTCAGACTCCTCTTTAATGACATGACTTCATGCCAGCAGACCCCATTTCAGACCAAGGTATTTTTTGTTAGCACCAGTGCTGTGTGTTTTTTTCCCCTCTAACACTACACTGGAGTTAGAGAGTTTTCTTCCCAGATTTTGGATGACATTCCCAGTTTGCGTACAAGTGGGTTCAGGCTGGTTCCCATGGTTGGAGGGCTTTCTCTTTCTAGTCTCGGGTTGGAAGGGCATTGCTCACAGACTCTTGTTTTCAACATTACTTATTAAGCTATACCCTGAATGCCTGGCTGCCCTGGTTTACCCATTCTGCAGCCACATGCCAACTTGCTTTGACATGGTTTACAGCTGAAATGATTTTTATGAATCACGCTTCCCCACACCAGCAGCACCAAGTGACGTGCAAGGCATAAGGCAGTTACACATAGCTGGCAGCAGGGACTGGGGCTCTGCAGCATCTCAGTGACAGACTGACAAATTCCTGACAAATTCCAAATTTGTCCTCCTCCCTTCTCTCCCACAGTGGATGTGACTCTGGACCCTGAGACGGCTCACCTTGAGCTCATCCTGTCTGAGGACCGCAAGAGTGTGCGGCGTGGGAACAGGAAGCTGTTCCTGTTGTTCTTTGACAGCCCCAAGAGGTTCAGCTGTGTTCCAGTGGTGCTGGGGCTGCAGGCCTTCTTTTCGGGCCGCAGCTACTGGGAGGTGCAGGTGGGAGACAAGCCGGAGTGGGGCCTGGGGCTGTGCAAGGAGGCTGCCTGCAGGAAAGGCAACATCATCTTCTCCCCCCAAAATGGCTACTGGGTGCTGCGGCTGCAGAACGGTGGCTACGAGGCCCTTACCTGCCCTGTCTCCTGTCTGACCCCGAGCGTCAGGCCCCGGTGCATTGGCATCTTCCTGGACTATGAGGCAGGAGAAATCTCCTTTTACAACGTGTCCGACCGCTCCCACCTTTACACCTTCACTGACAAGTTCTCAGGGAAACTCCGGCCTTTCTTCTACCTGGGCTCTCTTATGGGGGGCAAAAATGCAGAGCCCCTGG